TCATCCATAATTTGATTCTTAAAGCTTTCATTCCTCGTATATAACAGGAAAATTCACAGAACTGTTTATAAAATATCAACTTGAACGCCATATGTAATCATGTGAGACTTGCTCTTGACGCCAGTAACCCCTCAAATGGAGTTAGATTCACTAACCCCCCTTACGTGGTGTTACTTTTGAATACTGATTAGCTTGCGAATGCCTGTAACCCCTCAAAGGGTATTATTTTAACTCCAGTTATGGAGTTAAAAGAGCTCAAATTTTTAACTCCCGTATTACCCCTCTAGAATTCCTTCAAAGTGGTGTTAAAATAACACCCCGAAAATAACAGTGCACATGAATCTACGAATAGCAATAAATCGTTGCCCACCCTGTCCAGCGTCCAGTGGTCAACCGACAACTTTAAAAAGTGAATGGCCACCAAGCACCAGCTAGACTAGAACATAATCAGAAAACATTATATAATACCTTATTAAATTCTAATCGTTTAATTGGCTGTTTATGGTCACGTGATATAGAATAGAAAATTCCATTTCCCAAGAGTGCAATAGAACACGTTCCATTGCACTCTCCGCGAGTGCAATGGAATAAAACGTATAGTACAATTGCACTCTTTGTGTTTTCGATAAATCGCATCCCTCAGAATGCTTCTCATACGAATCTATTAGTCTGTTCTGGACTTTTGGTATTATATAAAACAAACAATGAATGTTTCTTCGTGCAATGGTAAGAATATTTTCATTCGGCGAAAGATGGAATGTTCCATTCAACTCGGCTGTCGCCTCGTTGAATGGAACATTCCATCTTTCACCTCATGAAAATATTCTTACCATTGCATTCATAAACATTCATTATTTGTATAATATATGCTGGCATAAACATGTCATTGAAATACCGGTAATTTGCTCTAAAACGGTTATTCCAGATTAAAATATTCACCGAATTCTATTTCTAATTGTAAGACCATACTCAGTTGCACACTAAACAAATCCATCGCAGTAAAACGCCACAGTAACTGTGTCTTATACGAATTCGTATACACGCCATAATAATAGAGACTCCTGCCCACTAACCTATACTGATAAAGCCAATGGTTCTGCCGTGAAACAAAATATTATGAAACACATTAATTAAAAAACAATTAACTAATAAAGTATTTTCACTTGTTCGTATATGATATGTTGAAACAGAGGCGGGATAAGTACAATCACGTTTAATACTGTTGCACTTTTATTGTGTTTATATTAAGTGGAATATTCGACATGAGCGCACACATCATATTAAAGGATCGTATTACATTACTAAATTCTAACAACAACATCTTGGAGAGTAGAGAGTTACGGCCCATAACATTTAAAACATTTAATGGGTCAATTTTACTCGAAACCTTACATTTAAAACATTTAATGGGTCAATTTTACTCGAAACCTTAGTGGCTTACTTTTTCGCTGGTTGTTATACTTTATTAAAATAATTCTGTACCTCATATTTTGCCAAATTTCGCTAATTCAAATACTTATTAGGCTAGGTGTCAAGATGACTCCAAATAGGACACAAGGTAGACGCCTTGAAAACCAATACGTACTATTTCGTAAATTGCTGAAAAGTGTACAGCAACCACGCTACTACAAAACAGACACGTAGTTACAAGATTATAATTTACCTTCGCTCCATTTTCATCCACAAGTCATCAAATTTAAATGCGTGAATAAATATAAATCATAAATTTTAACTCCTCTTTACCGGCATATTGGATTGTCTCGCGACCAAGCCGTGATTTGTAACTGAAAAGTGAACAGTGAACAGCTAACACGTCGATAGCATATAATCTATTTCGTGGATTCAATAACTGTGCATGTTGCCCGACGGCAAATTAAATACATTGATAACTCAACTTACTTTGACGGAAATCGGCATACTGTATATCAACACCTAACTGGCACCATAAACCTAATTAAAATAATTGTCGGATTATGATATTAAGTGATCATGTTATGGGAAATAGTTTATATTCCCTTGTAACTCAGGAGTAGAATTTTCTCTCAGAATATAATTTCTCTTACTGGTGCTTGATACAACTTTAATTTTTCATATGGAGTTTAAAACCAGGAAAATAGATTTTGATACCAAATGAACAGCGACTAAATGAACAAAATCAAAGCTTTTGCAATAAACAGTTATTAGGCTATTAATAAACTTTCCTAGGCTAAGGCAGCAAAACTGAAAAGTTTATTCGCATATACTGATGTTATATAAAGTATAATGTAAACTGCACGAAACCTTTGCTTCGAATCCAATAATAATATGTTATTTTACATCAAAAGCTATATTAATACTTGAAAGTACTTATAGTCTTGTGAATCACTGAGTGTCCACCGCAATTACCGCATCAGGTAGTCGGCGTCTCGGCGAATAGTTGCGATTTCCGAATAGTGTTGTGTATAAATTCAGAATTGTAACGGAAAGTGCCTCGTACGGCCATGGTTTTTGAGTACGATTTGCGCCGTTTCCGTTTCGATAAACCATTATAATGTGAATATGTGATACTATATAGTATATCATACATGCATGCCACTCCATTTTACTCAACTCAACTATAATTAAAATGAGAAAGCCGCAGAAGTGCTGACGTCTCTTCAGTCATTGGAAAATACTCCAGCTGCGTGAAATTCAACTCTCTCAAAAGCATAATTAAATTAACATGTATAATATTATCAAGCTATTCTTATGCAAGTTGACATCAATGTCAAGTGAAATATTAGCTTGCAAATTTCAAATTGCGCCAATAGATAGAGTGTATACCTGCGTGCGACTGTAAGTTCGATAGTTGAAAAGACGAAGATACGTTACTTGGGAAGACGAAGATATATTATGTATTCTTTTACTAAAACGGACGACATCAGAAGTGAGAAGACGTGGTAAGGTTAGCGTAGTCCTGGTGGTCAACTACTTATGCCGATTCAATAATCATTATTTATTTCTGATTTCTTTAAATAAAATAAAATAGAAGACCACCAGGAAAGGTTGTGTATATTAAGGTGTTCCAAGCTATTTTTGCATTTCCCAAAATAAATAGGGGAAAACAGCCAGTCCAGTGTGGAATGTCTGCATCGCGCGGCGGAGATATCGACCGCGCAATTTTAACACTTTCTATATTTACAATACTATTAAATTTTCAAAATCTCAGGCGCGGAATTTCCAAACGTTCCAGTCGGGAACAGCCTTATATATGTAGTTGTTTATGCTATAAAGACGTTTTAAATAGCGATGTTTTGATTGCGCAAAACATAGCTAATAGGGAATTGGTCGATAAAGTCTTCTTGATTAGGCTGATATAAAAGGATGTAGCTACTATATAAACTACCACACGATATTTGGAAGAAAGTAGGTGAATAAAAGATTTACAAGCAAATATATATAACATGTAAATTAAGGTATCGGCTTACTTATAAAACGAACTTTAACGAAGCCAAATACTTCGTGCTTATAATCATAGGATATGTGAGCGTCTTTTTGTTGGTGCATGTATGTAGCACTACATGAATGATAAGTGAGTTAGCGTGATATAATGACTTTAAATTCACAGGATTTTGTGCATTTCAAGGAAGTACATGTTTATGGAGTACATTTTAAGGAGAGCATCAAATGTTTCAGTATACCAATATATCGTCATTATTCTGCTTTCTGCACTCTGCAATATACCTTAATTGCTGCGTGCATGCTGTGTTTATTTGCTGTTCAAACTGTTTATAGTTGGTTTATATACCTTTACATCTTGACCAGTTGACCTTTTACTTTAACAGATGTAGGCCTATCGCTATTAAATCCGTTGTGACTGCATCTTTCCCTAATATTCCGGAGCTAACTAATATATGAATTATGGAAAATATTAGTAACAATAATTTAACTCAGCATGCACTGAGCATTTTAGATCTCAGTGCCGTGTTTCACAGGCATTAATATAGAGGAAATTACCAATACGCTATAATGGACACCCGATTTTTGATACTGAGCCATTTACTATAATTGAGACAATATAGCACTCGCGACAGGTTCCATCAACACAGATAATGGTTCTAGTTCTTGTTTCGTATAGCTACAGATACTATACGTTTAGTTTTAGGCCTTATAAATATAACTGATTGCGTATATAGTCGCGTTTACAGTAGAGACCTTTTTTTTTCTTTTTATTGTTAAATATCCATCTTTGGCATATAGAAATACAATGGATTTACAAGTTAAAAATAAATACTAAAATACATGTATAACCTATGAGAATGTAAAAATTAGAAAGTTTAAGAAGTTTTTATATACATATGTACAATGATCTAATTTCATGAGTTGGTTAATCTACACGCCCTTGGGATAAAAGACCTTACTTAAGTCACGGGCTTAAGTCTCATGTATATCAGCTGTGCCGTGTTATGCAAAAACACCGCCGCGTGTCTCCGGCTTTAGCGTCTTTTAATTTGTTGGTACGGAAATCGATAAAACTTTTGAAACGATGAAACGTTTGAAACGATGAAACGTTTATAAACACCAAAGTGATCTATTTTGTTTGTGCTTATACGCATGCTTTTGGATAAATGTGTGTTGGTTAATTCTGGATCAGTGTATAGCCTACTTGCCCGTTTTTGTATATTATTGTTCACTGCTTTATACCATTCTGTGCAGATCCGTTGAAACGGTTACCGAATATCGTTTGAACGGTTTCTTAATTTCGTTCGAACGGTTTGTTAAAGCCGTTCGTAGAGCCGTTTAATTTTTTGTCTTTACCCGTTCGTATTTTTTACTCAAAACGTCTAAAACGTTTTTATGATCCGTTGAAACGATTTGACAAAGCGTTTACTATCCGTTCGTTAACCGTTTTTTTGCCCGTTTTAATGCAAAATCGTTAACGTACGTTTTCCCAAGGAAGGTCACAAATTTGTTCGCTACTTCAACGACATTCCCAGAATAAGTTAAACGTGTTTTTCATTTCTAGGAATACATTCTCTTACAGTTTTCCAAAGGGAGTTGTTGTTGCTATTTTTGTCATTAATTCTTTTATACACAAATTTTCTCTCGGATTCTCTCAATTTTCTTTTAATTTGATTTCTACATGAACGATATCTGTCCCAGTCCAAGGCCTGCAGGGTTTGGCGGGCAAGTTTATGCAGCGCATTTCTTTTTTTCATAAGTTGAACAATTTCCTGGTCAACAAAAGGGCACAAGCGACGTTTAATCTTAACAGTCTTTATCGGGGCATGCATATCTAATACACTTAGAAATTTCTGATTAAAATTGTCCAGTCGCTGGTTAACGCCCTGGTCAATTGGATTTTCTTGCCAAATCAGCTGTTCTAGATCATTTTTAAACGCTTCAGAAGAATAATTCTTAAAACTTCTTATGACCATGTAATCAGGTAATTTCTTAAGCAATTTAAGCTTTAATATTGAATAAACCAGAAAGTGGTCACTGATGTGCGTTTCTTCAACTCCACTTTCCACTACCAAGCTTGTGTTAGATGTTAAAATCACATCGATGAGAGATGAGGACTGCAAGGTCACCCTAGTTGGTTCCTTGATAAGTTGGAATAAATTCAAGCTGCTGCACAATTCGTTCAACGCATCAGATTCTGGACCACTTTTTAATAAGTTACAATTTAGATCACCCACTACGAATATATCTTTTTTCAAAGTAAGTGCATATGAATAGTTGTCCATGAAATCGTCCACGAAACAGGAAACTGGACAGTCAGGAGGTCTATAAGCAACCATAGCACAATAGATTTCATTTTCTTATGTTGGATTAATATCCACAATTGATGAAAACCCATTGATGAAATTACAGATATATCCTTTATAATCTTTGTTTTCAGTGAGTTACGAGTAAAAACACAAACACCACCTCCACGTTTACCAAGGCGATCCAACCGAACAGTCTGTAACCTTCAATTTCAACTTCTGAATGTTTTACTGTGGAATTAAGCCATGATTCCGATATCGTTAAAATGTCGTGCTGATGTTCGCCATTAAGTTCCCTCAACTGGATCAAATTATCTCTATTTTTCAGAGATCTGACATTCAACTGAGCGAGCTTTAGTTTTGAATTTGAGTGATTATGATTATTCGCGTTCTTTGTTAGGGAAGGACAGTCAATGGTTTTCTTATAATTTTTAATTACAATGCAGTTCTCTGCGTTATGTTGCTTATTACAAAACATTCCAGTAGAATAAACACTCTTCAAATTTAATGTACGTGTCGTACTTTGCTTAATTTAATAAATGACATATCAGGCTAACTTGTATTTCAGCGAATTGTCGTTAGGGTTTGTAAGGGTATGGCGTAGATTTAGACATCTTACATGTAAGTCTTAGCTCATTGTTTCCTGAAATATGAATGTTCGAAACTATGCAAGTATTTAATAGGTCTTTACAAACTTAAAGGTATACATGAAAGACCATGCATGCAAGGCAGGCGCTTAAATTTTTCTTAAATAGCCTAATATTTTATGTTTTTCATGGGTTCAAAACAGAGTTGATTATTTCCCGGTTAGAGCAGGATGAATATTATTATTTAATGAAGGAAATAATATTGCTTTTTGCAAATACACATCACAGTATCAACGCTATACTATTTTGTTATACGTTTTGTTCCAAAAATGTTGGATGTCTCTGGGGAGATGCTTGTTATGTTTTATGGAGTTGTATGGTTTGATTGTGTTCCATTCTCAGTTTATTCTGAACTTGCCAAGATTAAGAAAAGGCAAAAGACTTTGGGTGTTCTTATCAAGATTTCAGAACGTTGTAGAAGTTAAAAGAGCTTCACAATTCCATTGTGACAGCATGCCCTAATTCAGAACTACGAACGATCCATGACGATCCTTCGCGATGCAGTGGTCTGATGCATGAAATAAGGAAACGTATTCGTGCTAGGAACACACGCGGGTTTCGGACGAATAAATCTTGCTTGTATTTTGTAGATAATAATACTTTGTTTCATAATAAACAATTTGTCAAGTGTCATTTATTTACTGGTAATAGTGCATGTTTCAGTCGGGCAAATCTTGATTAATATTTGATACGCCGTTTATCTATATATCGTAAGTATATCAGATATATCGTAAGTATATATATATATATATATATATATATATATATATATATATATATATATATATATATATATATATATATATATATATATATATATATATATATACAGCTAATTCAATAAAGGTTGTCCTTTGAAACCTTAAACTCTAAAACCTTAAACCTTAAACTCTAAGTGTGCAAAGCATAATGGGAGCAAAATTTAAGCAGTTTAGAAAGCATATATGGAACCCATTTTTTGGAGACATGATAAAAATCGCCCTGCAAAAAACATTTCACTGACAAACAGCTTCAATAATCAACAATTAAGCTTGAAATCAGTGCTCCCATCATGCTTTGCGCGCTTAGAGTTTAAAGTTTAAGGTTTTAAGGTTTGCAAAGGACAACCTTTATTGAATTAGCTGTATATATATATATATATATATATATATATATATATATATATATATATATATATATATATATATATATATATATATATATATTTATTAATTTATTTAATTGTATCACAAAAAGTATGTTTATCTAAGGATCATAAAGCCAAATTAACTTTTTTTGCCTATATATAAACTGTCTGAATAGAATCCCTACAACCTCTAGTAGTTTCGGACCAAATCATTACATGGTGTAGCCAGACCTCCTTGACTGTGTGCCTTAAAGTATTCATTTTCCAAACCAGAACTGATCATATGTTCTAAAATTATTTGAATCCGTCGTCATTTGCTTTGTTTTTGGACTTTTTCTTCAGATTTGACAACACATACCATGCCGTGTAGGACAGGGGACCGTGTTCATTCTCATTAAGTTCTGAAGAAATTCCAGCATGTCCACTGCATGTAGTAAGACCTTTTGAGAATGTCACCAAATAGTCTGGTATTGAAATCATGATTAGGTGCTGTTTATATGATCTCGGGTGCTAGGGTCACCCTACCCCCGAGCTACCCAAGGAGAGGCAAAATTATATTCATTATATAACATTTAATTTAAATGCAAGTGTTCATATGGAAAGTTTTCAACTCGTCTCGGCTAATAGGGTCACCCTGGCGGTAGGGGCACCCTGTTTGCAAAACAGGGATACCCTTGGTCGTAGGAACAACTTTTGTCCATGTAAACAATTTGTCTCCGCCTCCACAGATAACTTTACATTCCCTGATTCCCAGGCCATCAAACAAATAACTGCATGTTTCAGGAGTCACAATCTCGCACTTAGAGCCATTCTTGTAGGAGGGGCTATAGGGCTAGTGCTTCTCATATAGCCGTGCTGTAAAGTTGTCTCGGGGGTAGGGTGTCCCTAGAATCTGAGATCATATCAATAGCGTTTATAAGACTGCATAATTGTTGGTTTTTAGACTGCAATTGGCAAGACGAAAGTCTGCTAAGAATGAATATTGATTTAGCTTTCGACAAAATCGTTCATAAATTGGCAATATATTATCGTATATAGTGAATCGTTCGATGTTTATGCTTGCCATATTCGAAGTCATTTCGCTGTCCCAGAAAGCATCCTCCTTTATTTTTGTCTTAACTTTATCAACAATGGATTTTAACTACTCAGGTGTTAGCAATATTTTCGATGCAGAAACGTTCTCTTTCCCCGCTGTAATTTTGTTCCCATGTTTTGCATTTTTATGTCTCGTCAAGCCACCTTTCGACTTGCAAATCCTGTCACAATTTTTGCAAGGAAAGTTATTTTCGCCTGATATTTCGTTCACACCGTCTGGGACCTCCTCTTCCATAGTTGCTTCGACTTCTTCAATAAAAGACAACGCAATTTCAAAATTATAAGGGAAAATATCCTCGCAGGTTTCTTCATGTTCAAATAACGCCAACTCCTCGACAATGTTGCTCGAACAACTTTCGCCGGCTTCCAATTCCCTGAGAATCGATACAATCGTTTCTAAATCGTCGTCCATAACTCTTTGTATGATATGACTTTAGTTTAGCACAAAAATAAATGTTATTAGCGCCGTTCTTTCGCGATGAAACATGAAAACATTGGAAACTATAATATAATCCTATAGTAATTGGTCTCAAGCCATGCACTCAGTAAAACCGTCACGTGACATCTTTTTCCTTTGATCCTCAACATAGTTTGCCGCCGTCGCCTAATCCCTTTGAAGTTTGCCGGCTAGCCAAACCATCCTAAGTTATTAACTGTGGTTCCATGCACACACGTTGGGCGATGTTTTCGCCTTTATTGGCAGGTCAGGTTATTGACATATCCGACATGCCGCAATCCACTGGCTCGAATAAACATATTTGGCGGATATCACGCCTCATATATATCCTAAGTCCGTACTTGCATCTTGCATTCTTCTCGTTGGCTTAAAATTTATTTGATCGATATTTCGCTTTCAATTTCGCTGAAAATGTCTTCAGACAAATTATGATTCCGATGCTATACGGTCAGGAAAGCCTCTCCTATATTAAAATTACAGCTGTTTCAAAAAAGGTTTTCTTTCAAAAATCTCAAACCTTAAACTCTGAGACTTAGCGCGCAAGGTGTACTAGGGTTATCAAAAGCCCTAAAAAAAGTTACTCATCACTCTTTGCCGCTTAGAGTTTAAGGTTTGAGATTTTCGAAGGACAACCTTTTTTGAATTAGCTGTACTATAATTAGTCACTGTCGATGCTGTTTCTGTTCATGTTATTGTTAGTTAGTTAAATAAATAACAATCATAAATTTTATTAGTCATCAGTTAAAACACGAATTTGCTTGTGGACACATTACAATGGTACAAAATTGAGACCGGCAATGATGACAACAAGTAACTTGACTTCTATTTTAAGCTATTGTTTCGTGTGCACTCAAGAAAATTTGGAAAATTAAGCGTTAAAATTGGAGAACGGAGGCCCGCGATTATTTTGAACGCGGGATTGTTTATAAAGAGTCATGACGACCCGCACGCCTATAAATTGGATTATCTTGAAGGTGTTAGTTACCACAGCATTATTAGTCGGGGTGGTAAGAGTGGTGACATGTATAATGAATTTATAGTGAAATAATTTATACGTGCATGAAATTTAACCCCATAGATATGATGTAGTAAATAACTAACTGAGCTAACATACAAACCAGGTTGTCATCACCAATTCATAATAAAGTTAGCAGACAATGCCGCGCAAACTTCAAATTGCGCCAAAATCTGGTCTGCTTGACAATTGTGTGTATGGATTCAGGATGGAGATCAAGATCGAACAAACTGGCAATATTTTGATGGCTGCTTATTAAAGATTAATGCGAAGTATTTTCAATAAGTAAGGTTAGGTAATAGTCAAAAGGCTATGGCTTACAGGTATCGTAGCATGCAATCAGTTATCATTTCTTTAGTGTACAGTATGCTAGATACCACGGCTTCCAACCAGGGCTATCACAACCACGAGTTGATTGTACTATATTTGTTATATAATATATACTCATTTCTATATTTTGATACAATGTAGCACAAGACAAATAATATTTATTTACATAATTATATATATAACGGGTGGCGCAAAAAAAGTTCAGGCGTTTGATCTACCATAGCGAAAAAAACTATAAGAGCTATACGTCGCTCAAATAAATGTAGCTGTATTCATAAAAGGCTAACTTAAATTTTGATAGGTTATACATGAGATTTCACGAGATATCAGCGTTTAAATTAAACTTGCGTAAGCATTTTCAAAAGAATCGAAAATTAGTCTAAAATGGCCCATTGAACCAAATTTGATATCATTAGACATTACGCTGGGCATCGCCAGATTATTTCCCGGGCGAGCTATAGTGATGAGTAAACGCGGAGATGAGCCGTACCCATCGCTTTCAGATTTGACAATATCCATTTTTTTGTGGCTAGTTGAAATATCAAACTTGGAGCATGCCACATCAATAGCGCTAGGTTTTGGAATAATATCAAGAATACTTTTAGGGAAAACTCTTGTGTCAAAAAGATGTCCCATCTTTTGCTGACAGGTTATGAAGATGTCCCATCTTTTCTTAACCAGTGGAAGCTTAAAATGAGTCTTATATTACTCTTTACATCAGGCTAAGTTAGAGTAAGGTGGTGCAGCTTGCGCTATATAGGTTTTGGAATAATATCTAGAATGCTTTTAGTGAAAACTCTTGTGTCAGAGAGATGTCCCATCTTTTGCTGACAGGTTATGAAGATGTCCCACCTTTTGTTAACCAGTGGAAGCTTAAGAGGAGTCTTATATTATTCTTTACATCATAACGCATGCGCGGGCGTAGATTCCGTAGATTAGCTAAGACAATGGTGTCAACGCAGCTATTGTTTTTGGAATAATATATACATTAGAGATATATACGTTGGTGAAAACGATTGTGCCCGATTCATGTGCACACTAGGGCCTATAGCTGGGAAGGGCAGTATAATTATATAACTTTGTAAGTCCGTTTCTCTATTATTTAGCCATAAAAAACTTACGCCTTTGAAGCCGGACTTTTTATACCGCCAAGATCTAAGACGGCAAATAGGTTCCGAGGTCTCGACATGAAATTATCGTGCTATTCTCTAAGATATCAAGAACGTTTTATTTTACAACACACGAGTCTTCTTATTACATATTATACGCAGCCTATATTACACATTGTACGCTATATATAGTATAGCCTGGCCCTAGGTGACTTGTCAACAGTCAGCATTGTGACATATTTGTACACTTTTATTTTAATGCATAACAGAAAACAAAATACTATCACAAATCTTTAGAAGTTAATTATAATCCTGATAATCCTCGAACATTTAAAACTATATGCCTGAAATGTAACTCTGTACGAAGTCTTATATATCCGATATCCTGCTGCTTTTAGTAACTAATATTGTTTGTTCGTAGGTTTGTTAGTCTGTCCAGTTGAATGTCTGTTGTTTGTTTGATTGTATCCAATTGGGCCCGCAGTAATTGGCAATAAGCTGTTGCGGTGTCCCGGCCACTCTGTGTAATTTTATGCCGGCAAAGTTAATAAATAAACACTGCGTTTAAGCAACTGACCTGGATTGATGACATCTTATAGCGGTAATTAATAATGCGATTAGCGTTGCTCGCTTCCTGAAGTTGCAAACTCAGTTGGGTTGGGATAAAACACGGAATAAACACTTAAATATTCAGTTGCACATTTGATCGCTTACACGCGTTTTGCTAAAACAGAAATTATTTTAGCAAAAGCAGTGTCTGAGGGAAAAAATGAAAATTTGAATTAATTTCTTAATTTCTGCTCTACTTGAATTGATCAAGTTACAAATTGATTCATATAAATAAAATCAATAACTACAACCACGATCATCAAGTTGAATTTTTCAGTTTGTATTGTATGGCGATAATATGTGACTTGCGCGACAATATTAACACCGTATTACCAAATTGCAATGGAATTTAAATTCGGCTGATACTGATCATCAGTGTGTAATAGCGCATTTGTTTTATCAAAAATCATGATTTTCCAAGCTTACCGTTTGCGCTAATAAATGGACTAAAACCCAAGTTATCATATACGCAAAACGCTTTTGACATTCACGCATTAAGACTTCTAAAACTAAACTAAAGAAACATTTAGCTACATAGGATACTCTACTGAACTGATAGGATGCGCAATATTACTTTAAAAAATACTTTACTAAATACTTTATAAATAATATAAATTGCTTTTTATACGAAATTTATATTACTTTAAAAAACTCATTAATAATTCAGGAGGAAAATCACCTTAAAAAAAAATCACCTTTGTGAGGGTGAAAATCACCTTTGTGAGGGTTTGGTAGAAAATGCGGGTTGATTTTCAACCTCGTCCCCAGGGCCTATTCAGGAAGGAGGCGAAGCAGCAAAGGCCCTGGTAAAGGCTGGTCACGTGACGCCTCAAATTTTGAATATTTCAGAATATTTAACTTTTCAAACCGGGGGTGCGGGCCGCTTTGATTTTATCAAATATGGCCGTGCAAAGGGGCGATAGAAGCTTTTGCGACTGAAACCAGAGACTGAAACTATGATGATAAACTTTTCAACTGACAGTGGAAATAAATATATAGTCTGCGATGTTCTTCAAAAAAGATGGAATATAATCAACAGCAATACTTGTGGAAGATCAAGATTCAAAGAGAAGAGTCTAAACACTGACTGACAACAGTAAATATTTCTTTTCAGCTTGGAAGCGTGTTTTATAATATTTGTTGTTTGGGAGTCAATAACATACTGTCACTACTGTCAGTGAAGAATTTGATTTGGGACTTTGATGTACCTTTATGAAAAGATTTACTACTGAATACAAATGTGCATGTAAAATGTGATTAGAACGTTTTAATATGAACAGTTGCACTGTCATTGACTCAATATATTTTAATGTGGGACAAACATTAAAAAACATTAAAGTACTGTGCCAAGTGACAAAATTCCATGCCGACCATGGGTTACGTATGTATGCATTTTTATTAAACGTTTATACCAATATACATTATTTTAAACCTTTGTGTGTGAATTTTGTGTGTTGATTTTATGATATTTGACAACCATGAATATTAATAATATAATATGTTAACAGCAAGTTTACAGTATATCGTATAATACAAAAGCAATATCACAAGACTCAAGTACTGTACATGGTCTAATAGATGTTTCTTAGTCAGCAACTATGCTCTTTGACATTGTGGCAATCAGGTATTCTTGGGGCTTTTAGCTTGGTTTTTCACTTTTTTGATACAACTATAGAATACCCACAACTTTCACACCTTACCACTATTAGTTCCTTGTAAACATTGTCAATTTACTCAAAATTGATCTAATATGATTGCCTCATTCTTCAAAACCCCCAGTCAAATTTGAACCAAACTAACATACTCATATGATTTAATCTCTAGACTTTACCCTTAAACTATTTTGAAGTGATTCTTGTACTTATTTATGTGTCAATGAATGCAGAAAAATGGCGAGGTATTCTATAAGCATTCCGGCATGTGTGTTTTTGAACCTTCACTGTTGAGAGAGCATGCCATGGGTCTCCCCAAATTATCTGAGTACTTCAACCAGACCAACAGCTGCCAAATGGCAACTACTATGCTCAGAGGTGTAACTTACACTTGCCCGGGGCAAGTGAATATCATGACGGGCAAGTAAAAGATTCCTCTTGGTTGCCCGAATGGGCAAGTTGCTTTGCCACAAAAAGCTGGCCAGCTTTCAGTTCATATTATTATTGTCGGATAGAATAAAGGCTGTTCGACGACATTGGTTCAAGCTGGCAAATCATCTGCATCAAATTCATCTAAATTGTTTGATTATATCATGCATTGATTCTCTTTTTGGTTATTAAATGTTTATTCAGGCATGTAGTAAAACACTGACTAACGGAACACCGGAACACCATCGGAACACCACCTAACCCTAACCCCAACCCTAACCCCAAACCCTAACCCCAAACAAAATGGTGGTGTTCCGGTGGTGTTCCGGTAGTCAGTGTTTTACTACATGCCGTTTATTCATGATATGATAACGAAATATGGCAGGACTTAATTTATGGCAGGACTTAATTTGGGACTTTATTAGTCCTGTTGTCTGTGCCTTCAATTTCTTATTGTAAAACTAATAAAAAAAAAATAAAAAATAATGGTGATTAGTGTTACATTAAATTAAATCAGTGTACTTGATTCAAATTTTGTTTAATATGTGAGCCAAAGCTAGATCTGAGGTAGTCTAGATCTGAGGCAGTAACATAGCCAATGCCACTAGTCCAATGAGTGGATATGTTGTCTCCCTAATTTATACTGGCCCGCGTAGGTACCCCATTGCCTGATGGCAACTGGATTTTATTCAGGGCAACCAATTTTCATGTCCAACTTGCCCTGAGGGCATGCAAGTGGCAAAAAAGTTAAGTTACACCACTGATGCTGTATACAAATTATATACCTGAAAGGTAACTTACATCATATTGTGTCATTTAAATACTAATACTTGTATTCTCACAGTGTATTAAGATATACAAATGCACTTGTGATGCCCAAAGAATTGCCACAAAAAACCCCATAAACCACAAATCAGTCAATTTCAGTAAGTAGGGCACACTGGGGCACATTGCAGCTCAATGGGTTAACTAGAGACATTGTCAGATTTTGGTTAATAACCATAATTGCAAGAGGTCAGTACAGTCTGTAACAATAAGACTAATTCAGGAATTCACACAATTCTCAGTTCAATGTTGAGCATCAAGAATATATGTATAATATCCTTCATACATCTATAATAATATTCAGGCTAAATATCATAGTTATTATTTTATGTACTATAGTTGTATCAGGTATAAAGATACGAGGTGAAGCCAAGTATCTTTAGGTCTGATAAAGCATACACTGCGAATGTTTTAAATTGCTCAACTGATGGTCACCAACAACAAATAGTACTTTATTACAAGGCGGCAAAATGTATTTAAATTAAAAGAGATGAATAATCTTGTCACTTGATACATTTGACACCAGGTGTCTTGTATTTGTCCATAAGAGACCCCTTGTTATTGTATCATGTTTTGAGAATGAGTTCAATTTTGATATTTGTTGTTGATCTGAGCAAAATATTGATTTGAGGCACACTACTGAGGCACACAGTATTGAACAGTCAATTGTGGTGAGTGATGCTGAACTGCCTGTTGTATGTTGTGAGTGATTTTGAGCGCCTGTTGTGATGAGTGACACTGAATTGCCCCAATTGTGGCTCAGGAAAAATGTACCTGCTGACTTGTCAAATAATCTCCTTAAATAATGTTCTGGGAAGTAATTTGTGTAATTGATTACAAACAAAAACAAGGGCTTGTTAACAGTATAATGAGGAAATTAATTCCCTCTCATTATATTATTCAGCCTTGATAAAGCATATGGAGGCTTTCTGTCTGATTTGACCCTCATGCATGTAATTGTTTGGGAATGCAACATTTGTTTTGAAGCTTGGCCTTTGAAATCTAAACCCAAAGCACTATATGTGTGTTCACAATATGTTCTTGCGATAAGAATGAAAATCAAATAAAATATTTCAACTCAATTAAATTCAGGAAATGTTAATTAACCATGGAGGTCAACCAGGTTATTACTCAGGGCATATGGCTAACATAAGCATTTAAATTCCAAGTGCATACGATGTTGACATTCCTTGTTTTTCAGACATTCTTTGGACCTTGTACTCCCTTTAACTGTTTATAAATATACTGTATGATATTGACATTTGCAAGAAAGATCTATTGTAGCAACAATAACTATTAAATGTTTTGATGATCATGGATATGGTGTATTGAGAGTCCATATTATTAAATTAAAGTGATTTTACATATCTGTTTCACAATCGAGGCAGCAATTTCCTTGCGACAGTAATTCATAGTATAAATACTTCTATCGATCCATTCGACACTGTTGCTTTGTCTATTTAATAGATCTCCTTTACAGTTCAACCAAGGTTCTCAGAGCTAATTTGAAGACAATTTCAGATTTATTCAATATTTTTGGAAGAACTTTAACAGATTTTTTCATTTTAAAATAGATTTTTGTTCTTTATTTGTCGATTTCGGTGTTTATGCAATATTGACGAATATATTGTAGCTAAAGCGATCCGCGATCGCACCCCCCTGTATAGTATTTGCTCCGATATATCACGTGACAAAATAATCCACAATTTGTGGATTATTTCACCAGCCTTTACCAGGGCCTTTGCTGCCCTTCGCCTCCTTCCTGAAACAAAAGGCCCTGGGGACGAGGTTGAA